AGCAGGGAGCCAGGCCCCCCCCCCCCCCCCCACCAACCCCCCCGCTCCCCCCCGCCAGACAACCTGCCCATGGCCCTGTCTCACTCCCCACCTGGGTCCTGTGCCTACACATTCCAGCATGCCTCAGCTGAGCAGCAGCTCCAGCCCAAGCCCCAACCCCACTCCTGACTCCCTCCCTCCCTCAATAAGGGGGCCTCAATTCCAAACCCCAACTTACCTGCAGGGAGCTGCTCTCCAGGCTGCCTGCCAGCCATGTGCCTGTGTGCATGTGCACAGGCACATGGCACCTCCTGCCTAACCACACTCCTCCCGCTCATCCTGGCCCCTTGAGGCTGGAACTCTGCCAGCCTGCAAGTGCAAACCCACCGTTTTCACATTTTTCTCTTTTATAGGAGAAAATCCAGCCTTTTATTATTAACGTGAGAAAATCTGGGGTTTTCTCCTTCAAATGAGAAAATACAGGCTTTACTGTATTTTTTCATGGTGAACAGAAAAACTGGATCCCTGTTGATCACCATCATGAATCAGTTGATTAGAATCTGAAACTTAAATTTTAGAAAGAACTGGGCTACTGTGACTTGTTTTTGGTTCACTTTATTCTAAATTTCTATATCCTGGAACTCTAATACTGAAGAGGTCCTTAGCACCTTTCTAATAGCAACAGCAATATTTCTTAGCACACCAAAAAAGATGTCCTAGATTTCTTCTGTTCATAGATTAGATGGTTAAAATATTATTTGGACGAATATTATTATTTTGTTGGCCATATACAATGCTATCAGTTCTGTAGTCTGAGAAAATGTCTTGTTTGAGTCTCTAAATATCACCAGCGGGGGGCTCCTTAAGGCTTTGAAACAGAAGAAAAATCTTTCTTACATGTATTTTATTTATACCAGAATCAATTCTTTTATTATGATTTTAAAGAAACCTTATTTACAGATTGCTTTTTGGAATTATAAATTATTTAATTGGAGATTTAGTAGTTAGTCAATTCAACCATTGTACACATTAGCATTGCATTTGATTATAATTTCAATTATATTATTACTACTAGTTATACTTACTAATTGGGATGAATGCCAAAATGCTATGGGCCATACTGTATCTGGCCCTTGCTCTTTCATAAAAGGGAGGTAGCGTGTCCAAAGAGTCTTTGTTCCTTATCTCTTTATACTATCTGACACATGGACTAGGCACAGAAAATCCTCATATTCAGGGGAATATAATGGAGCTAACAGTGCAGCAGTTCCTCTATATTACAATAGCCTCCCCCAATAGCCACGTTTCCATTTTTTTATTCCATCCACTTGGTCATGGCTACCATTCTGCTGCTGATTAGCTAGAATACAGCTTCCTCTAGATTCTAGTGCTGCTCTTTTAGATTATAAACAGATGATGCCAAATGAAGTGGGTCAGCCATGAGGGTTACTAGAAAGTAACATTAAGTTTTCCTCCTCCATCACAAGGCATTAATGGGCACAGAATGTATCCTTCAGAAAAGAAATAAAACTGAGGTCCTGACCACTTATGATTGTGAAAGATGCCAAGGCTCTTTGCAAAAGAAGCAGCATTAACCTTGTTCTCCTGGCCTAATTCCAATTTGGAAAGTACTTTTTGCCTACATAATCTCTTTCTGTAGGTTCATTTAGATATACATAAAGTTCTACTTCCCATCTGGTGCCAGGGTATTATGGAGAGAGGCTATGCACTTGTAAGAAGTCAGTGCATTTGACAAGAGGTAGCTGCATTTCCAAGTTAGAGGAAGAGATACCTGAACACAGTTTAGATAGGACAATTATGAAATTTTAAGATTATAAACAATCTTGTATATTAAGATGACAAACAATTATAAAGGCTATATAAATAAATTAGTTCAAAGGTAGAATATAAATGTAAAGTATTATTGTTGATGTGATAAAGAAAAGACAGCAACATACACGGTAATTACGGTAATGATTAGAACACAAGGAATGCCTGTATCGTATGGGATCACTATGCAAAGCAATAGGTTTATTATACAAATTAACTTCTTAACAGACTAGTTGGCATAGCAAACAACCTTCTCTGTTTTTTCACATTATTCCAAAGAGATGATATGAAGATCGTCGTCTTGAGTCTGTCCTCACATCCAAATCTTTCTGTTGGTTATACGTTTTTCTGAGTAATTTTTGTTCCCCATAATAAAAGTTATGCAAACTACAGAGATTATCATTACAGTTGCTGAAGATCTGATTTTAGGTACTGCTGGCTTTTCCTTTTCAGATGAGCATTCCCTTCAAGCTGGGTTTATTGTACATTTATCTAATGGAAAAATTTCACCCACTTAAGTATCCACCTAATCATGATTTTTCTAGGTTGAGAATTTTAAGATCTTGCTTTGATCCATTCAGTGCATATCAGATTAGGGAAAGGAACGATATCAAACTTCCTCATATCAAAGTATACTGCATCATATCTCTAAGCCTTTGGCACACCTATGAAAGATCCATATTACCTCTCTAGAAAAGTTCCCCTGAGAAAGCAATTATTCTTTTTGGACACCAGCTGGAGCAAAAATTACTCTAAATTATTAAGCCCACTTAGTTAAGAAAATAAATTCTCTGAACTGGACAAAACAAGAATTGTTAATATTTCCCATTCTGAATATAGAAAAGAATCTCAGTAGTTGTTTTGGGGTCCCTTGCCAAAGAAGGCATAGTCACAAGCCTCTGCTGTAGCAGCTTCAGAGAGCATTTTTATTTTCTGATCCTGCATTTGCCAAATTAGCCTTTAAGTAGCATGGTAATGTGGGTATTTTTCTTATATTGGAGAATTCCTAACCTTGTGTGTGGAGAAGCCCCAACTAATAAGAAAGAATGATATAGTATGGGAAGGACTGAATACACACAGCTATTGAGGACCAACAGATATATAAGAGAACTCAGCTTGGCTTTCAGATTCTGAGCCATGGCTGAGTTTACAGGATTACCATTTGTGAGCATGAGGGGAAAGCATTTAATTAACTAGAAAATGAGCATTTGCTGCCTCTGGTCCCAACCTAGCCATGTAGCAGTGACAGAGGCAGTAGTAGCTCTGGCCCTGACTCCAGGGCCAGGGCCAGGGCTGTCACCCCTGCAACTGCTGCTGCATGGCCAGGTGGGGATTGAAGGCAGCAAGTGCTCCCTGCCCTGTGCTAGAGCAGGCCCCACCCAGAGATGGAGCTGCAATAGGAATGGAAGTCATGGTGGCAGAGGGGGGAGGCAGCATGGGAGGTAGGCAGCAGGATGGGGAGTAGGCAAGCAAGCAGCAGGGGCCAGGAAGGAAAGGGGGAAGTGGTGGGTAGACAGGTGCCAGTGGGTGCAAGCACCAGGGGTTTGCACACACAGGGAGGTGCATAGCAGGTGGAGTGGGGGGAACAGGTGGCAAAAGTCAAGGGTCAGGTCACTTGATTCTCTCACTGGCTGCTCTTATACTACTTCTTGCCCTGCTGTCATGGTGGTTGTGGGACAAATTTAAGATGAACCTCCAAAATTAGATTCTCTACATGAAAAATTATAACAAATTTATCATTTTTCCATGTCTAGAATCTAATTACCGTGGGGCCACCTGAAAATCAAAGTTGTCTTGGATTCAGGTAAATATTGTATTTAGTGGAAAAACAACTAGAACCTGGAACTCCCAGGTGAGCGCTTTAACCACTAGGGTATCTACTTATTCTCAGTGTCCATTTGACCCCATGAAAATTTAAGTACTATGTACAAAGTTGTACCACCTTCAAAAGGATTTACTAAGAGATGCCCATTTTAAAATACCATGTGGTTAGGGTGCTTCCTTGCAAGTGGAACCTGAGTTTAAATCCCTGTTTTAAATCAGGCAGATGCAGATTTTAATCTCTCTCCCCCATATGCCAGAAATCTGACCTACTCACTGGACTTTTGGAAATAATGGCACTCTTTGATTTTTTTTCTGGAAAAAAAACACAAAATAAAATCTCCACAAAAAATTTGCTCAGATTAGCTACCAGAAGAAGGTTCACGGCAGGTGAAGTTCAGATTAGCTACCAGAAGAAGGTTCACGGCAGGGGAAGTGGGGAACATAGGACCTTGAGGGAATATCTAAATAACCTCACTCCCAAGTCTGGTTCTTCAACCAGCAAAATAAGCAAATAGGTTCATTTGCATTTGTTCCCAGTGGGCACACTAGAGACTTGCTATGAGACGCAAGAGCTTACTCAGAGTAGATGGAGAGAAGTGGTAGGGAGCATTTCAAGGTGCTTCATGCTACTCCTTGACAAGAAGCACTGTACCTGTACAGTTTGGCTGTGGCTGCTATTATATCTTATTTACTCTAGTAAGAGAAGCTCTCCCCCAAAGAAACATTGAAAATTACACACACACACACACACACTAATGAATGATGGCTATGTATAAGGATAACTTCATTTTTGGGTGCTCAACCCACAGCCTACACAGTCTCACAGTCTGCACAGTTCAGTGCAAGCACTCTACCAGCATAGTTTCACTGGATAAATTATCTGAGCCAGAGAGTAACATGAACAGCTATATTGCTTCTGTTACCCTAGCTAGCTCATTTAGAACTAACTTGGATATCTACAGGGCACTGAAAAAATGCTGGGTAGCCCTTTCCTACAAGTCTGTTGCTTTTTACCAAAGGTTTCTAAAACAGCTACTCTAGTCATGTATGTTGTATATACTAATAGATTTTTGTGCTGATTTTCTCCTGATGGTGACACCACTGAGATGCAGTTAAGTAGTATAATGTGCTCATGGCATTTTAAAGCTATTTGCAAGGTATTCGTTACAAACCTGCTGTCTTTTATAATTCGGTTATAAAATCAATGTAAACATCTGTGGTCATACAAAAAGGTGTTACATTGCAAATCAACCCAACACAGCAGAGGTACCAAATCAGAAGCTTAAAAAGATTTCTGCATTTCTCTTAAAGTTTTATAATCTCATTAAAACACCTTTTTAAAATAAAGCCATTTGTATTTCATTTACCTCCTTTAAATGGTATCGGACCAAATCCTCCGTTAGCAAAAGCTGTCACGGTTTCATTGAAATCAATGGGGTTACACAAAATGTACCAGGTGAGGATCTAAGGCACCACAGGAAAATTACCACATGCCATGATATAAGTGCTACATTTTTATTATACACAATAATGCAAATTTTATCACAAAATTAAATTTTATAATCTCCTAGAAGAGTAGCTTAATGTTGTTAGGCCTTGAGTTAAACTCACATAAGAATCAAGCTGTCCCCTAATTTTGTTAGCTTTCATTATAGGCAGCAATTGTACTACCCTTGACTCAGATTTCTTTGCTTCTCTAATTGTATCAGAAAATGTATGGACACACACTCTGTTCCAGTGGTGCTGAACTTAAAAGGCTTGAAATTATGTTAAAAGATTTTATTTTGAATATAGCAAAGAGGTATTCCTTAAATTAAGGGATCATTTGCAATCCTGGGGGACTTTCTTTTGGAAACTAGTATTAGAAGGGAAAAAAAAACATGTTAATTGAATCTTCTCATTTACACCTTCCATCTGTTTTCATTCCAGCTGTGTCTACTTAGATATTTAAGAAGCAGGTCAAGCTAACACTTATGGGTCTCAGCTGATAACTGTAGTAATTTAATAAAATTGCTACAAGTAAGAGGCAGAATTAGAAAGAGAGGTAATACCTTTATATTAAAATACATAAGTTCTAAAGCTACATTTTTGTGACTCATAATTGATCAGACAAAGAAAAAAAAAAGAAAAAGAAAATTTGATCATTTTATTTTGCAAAAAATTTACTCTCATTTGATTCAGTACCACACAGCAATTTTGCCACTTTTTTTCAAATATAGTTTTAATAGAAGTAGTCTTTTATATTTTATTCTTTCACCAAAATACCTTACCACCTTTTTTCCCCCCAAATTCCTGTTTTAAGGTGAAGATATGGTTATGCAGACCGCATTACTGCCCTATGATTGTTTTTCTACAAGTAACCTTTACAAAAATAGTAAGTGATTTTTGGGTGCCTCAATTTTGCAGTGTCTAGCGTGACACAGATTAAGGGGGTTTAGTTTACAGAAAGTGCAGAGCATCTAGTATCCTCTGTTAATTAATCTTTCTTAAAGTGCTTAAATTGGGAAGCCAATATTCATCACTTCTGACAACCGCAGCTTCCCATTCCACATCAAAATGAATGAGCTGGTTTATCCCTACTTTTGGTTCCTTGGGACAGGACTGATGGCTTTGCCTGATGTCTTTGTGTTTAACTGTGCAGCACCTGATATAATAGAAAATGGATTCTGATTTGGATCATCCAGGAATTGGGCTAACACATATATGATGTACACACACAGACAAGAGAGAGGATATAGATAATTGTAAACTTTAATATAAGTTGACTATCCAGGAGACATTTAAAATATTATCTCAGTAAATCTAGGAGTCATAGCTTTTTCTACCTTGTAAGAACCCTAAGTGACAAATTATGTTATTTCTTTGTGGAGCGGGTATTTCTGACTGTGATGAAGGTAGGCTCATTGTCTCACTTTAACTCAGCATGGTAGCCTGTTTGTGATGGTGAAGAGGTTGCTACATTTGATATACAGAAATTGTGTCCCATAATGAAGGAAGGGGAAGGCTCCTAAATTAAGTAGAAGTAGAAATTTTGGAAAGGATCAGAAGAAGTAGGAACAGAAATTGTGGAAAAAGATCAGAGACAGCACGGGAATAAGTAAAGAGAATAAATGATAGGAAAATATTAGCAAGTGCACATACAAGTCAAAACCGAGAATGGCTGTTCTTAATGAGATCCTGAAATAAATTGGGATGTGAAGATGAGGATGATATGGGCACTTGATAAATTGGTGAAAAGAGGCGCTTGGAGAGCTGAGGTCAGGGAAGGATGCAAAGAATGTAGTTGTCATAGTCTAGATGAGAAAAAAATTAACCTCTTTGACAAGGTTTTCATCAGGAGGCAGAGTTACAAACACAAGAAAAATCAGAAGGAATTGAAACTTCAGGGTCAAGGTCAGTGTCAAGATCACAGAAAGTGTAAGCATGTGCGAGAGTAGAGATAGAGTTGCACGTGCAGATGCTTCTCTAACCCAAAATGTGCACTTGTACTGAAGAGATTTAGATGAATGGTGTGAAATCATAGGTTTATCTCAGAATGTTGGGAGAGGAATGATTAAAGTTGTCAAATGATTAAAGATGTCAAATAATATACAGTGAGTGTATCTACAAGCAATGTTTACTGCACAGTTGACATTTAACTGCACAGTAAATGTCTTGGGGTCTATACTTGCACCCCTATTTGGGCTAAGTAAACTAATAAACTCTGCAGCAGGGTAGTACTTGTAAATACATTTTTTTTCATGTGCAGCAGTGCACGTGTAGATGCTGCCAGTGTTGATTATCACCAGCATTAGAGTGGAAGCTAAGTTTAGCACTATGTGGATGTCTAAAAGGAGATACAAAACAGCATCAGGACAAAGAATTCTTGTGTGACAGTTATTCTCTTTCTCCATATTTCTAAATGATGTTAAAGTAAATTTTCTTGACTATTATTCTATTAGTGATCAGATACTTCTTGATCTACTCCCACACAGAGACCTCCTTTAATCGTTGATGTTGTAGCCATCCTGTTTGCAAGTATCTCAGGCTGACACTTGTGGAAACAAAATCATTGCTAAAATATTCTGCATTTGTTGGGTACTAAATGAGTGATAATAGTCTGAAGCAAGGGGTTTTGAAGCAGAGGTTGATCTTGAAAGTGAATATGAGTGATTTGATACATAGGCTCTGAACCATGATATGGTCTTCTGGAGATTGGACTAGTCCACAGAAGAGCAGAATGAATCTTTAGCTATCTGCATGTAAACATATATGTAACATTACAGAAGCATCAGTTAATGGCAATTGAAGTTGCCTTGAAATCTGTACTTAATCAGAGATGTAGTTTTTCTTCTTCCCCACATTGGTAATGTTATGTATTATATAATATGGGATAACTCTTCAATACATTTTATATAATAACTTCAGAAGACAATTGATGCTTTTAGGAATTTAGCCCAGACAATTATACCTTTCTTTGTCTCCCTATTGCTAAATTACCAACACACCGTCAATTCCAAAATGTATATATGTACATGTTCCAGCAGCATTGCTTGGGGTTTTGGTGGATCTTGGGGTTTTGGTGAATCACAAATTCAACACGAGTCATTGTAATACAGCTGTAAAAAAAACTGAATATAATTTTGGGCAGCATCAACAGGAGTATTAGATGCAAGACACAAGAGATGATAGTATCATTCTACTCAGAGCTGGTGAGGCCTCATCCACATAATGGGATAATTGTATCAACTTTGTTCCCATGCATCGTTCTGCGGATTACTTTCTGTTCTGAAAGTTCATCTATGGACATTTCTGGACTCTAGATTTTAAAGAAGGTTGTGAACAAATTAATGAGGATCCAAAAATGACAAAAATGAAGGGGTTGAAAGGCAAGTCATAATAAGAGAAGTTGAGAGCATTAAGGATATTTAACTTTCACCAAAGCTGTCTAAGAGGAGATACAATAGCAGTCTTATATCTGAAGCATTTCCATAAAGACACATGAGCTTTCATATGCAAAACTTATCTCATCAAACACTATGAATGGACTGGCAGAATGAAAAGAGTATATAGAAGGGGGACAGGGAAAGGGGACACTACTAAAAGAAGTAATGAGTATGCTCGTCAGACTAGGGGTGTCAAACTCATCTGGTACTGCAGGCCGGATGAGGGACACAGGGCCAGTCTGTGGACCAGAACTGGCCCACAATCTGGCCCCATATGCTGGATCGAGCATGCAGATGCACCCAGTGGCCCTGCACACTGAATCTGGCACATAGGGTTGGTCTATAGGCTCAGTCCAGACAAGCCCTGAATCCAGTGTGTTGGGCTGGATTTATGCAGGTGCAGGCATCATATGCAAGTGTGTGCCCTGGACCACACTCCATGTGCTGCAAATACCGGCTCTAGCCCACACCAGCCCCACATGCCAGTCCGGGGCACATGCTGCATGTGGCACCCATATCAGACCAGCCATGTGCCCTGGATTCAGCTGATCTGTGGGCCTGATACTGACTGGTCCCAGATCCATTGTGTACGGGGCAGGTCTGGTGCAGGTACCACATATCGTGCGTTTCTGGACTGGCCCTATATGCTGTTTGCAGCTTGTGCCAGATGGGCTCCACCCACCACATGTAGCGTGAGGAGCTGGGCCAGTGGGTGCTATATGCACTGATCCAAGACCTTCAGGTAGCATTGAAGGCCAAATGATAAGGTTTGGCAGGTTGTATCTGGTCCGTGGACAGTATCTTTGACACCCTTGGGTTAGACCAATTGAGAGGAATACAGCAGTTAACACCTGGAGTGACATGAAAGTTAACAGCTATTCCACGTAGTGGGATAATTGTATTAACTTTGTTTCCATTCAGCATTCTGTGGATGATTTCTTGTTCTAAAATTTCATGGAAATTTGTTTTTTATAAAGATTCTTAAAGATAGCTACTCTGATCAGTGAGAGAATGATCGGCAAGGTTTAAGTGTTTTGCTATGGACTTTGTGCACGCTTCTGGAACTCATATCAAATCAGTTTCCATTCATTCTTTTACACAGGTATTGTCCTGTCCTCCCAGTGTAGACAGCAGAGGAACACTGTAAGTAAGTAATGGTTTATATAGCGTGACCATATATCCTGCTCTGGCTGGGACAGTCCCAGAATCCCTAGGCTGGTCCCAGCTGGTTGGTCAAAAATCCTGGACTGGAGCCTGGCAGTAAGGCAGAGCAGGATGGTATGCCAGGCAGGCAGGTGGGCACCACTGCTGTTCTGTGGGAGCAACGCATATGGATATGGCATCTTAGAGTGACTATACATCTGCCCACCTTACTCCCTCATAAGGAATATGCTCCCACTATACATCTCCCCATCTGCCTGCCTGGCACACCATGCCACTCTGCCTCTCCATTGGACTCCAGCCTACGACTTTTGACCAACCAGCTG